GCGCCTACTTCATGCAGCTGCAGACGCGCTCGGCCGACGAGCCCATGACCACCTTCTACAAGTGCTGCAGCGCCCGCTGCGGGCACCGCTGGAGGGACTGAGGGCCAATAAAGACCGCGCAGAGCAGCGTGCGGAGCCGAGTCGCTTTATTCGCCCGGCGCCGCGCGAGGCGGCCTCACGGGGCAGCGGCAGGGGCAGCGCCCCACTTGTTCCAGTTCAGCTCGCGGGGGAAGACCGCGCCCATCCTCACGGCGCAGTCGATGGCCGGCTCGTAGAAGGCCGCCGCCGGCGCGGCGCCCGCCTCCTCCCCGCGGGCGGGTTTCGAGAAGAGCGAGGCGGCGCCCTGCGCTCCGAGCTGGAACTTCCGCACGCAGCCAAGGGACTCCAGGCCCTGCGGGACGAGAGAACCCCGCGTCGGCTCGGCTCGAGCTAGGGAAGGAAGGGCGGCCCGGCCCGGGGCCGGTTTCCCGATGGGGGTCGCGCCAGACCCCAAATATCTGCGCCCCTTCGGGTCTGGCCAGCCGCGCGTCCCTCCCCCTGAAAGTGAACGTGCTTCCCAGCTGAAAGCCACTGCCCGCCTGCCGTGCCTCACCTGCAGGACCTCCAGGAGAGCCACTGGCTGCAGCACGCCCAGGTAGTGGCGCTGCAGGGCCGCTTCTGTGATGCCGGGCTTTGTCATGATGTGGCAGAGCACGCCTTCCATGATCCCTTTGCAGACTGGTTTGTTCAGGCTGCCGTCCACGATGCGCCAAGGCCGCCCCACAAAGCAGATGCTGTCTCTGCTTAGGAGGAAAAGCCAATCGCCGTGAGCGCAAACCCTCTCTCCCCTGGACTTAGAAAATGTTTGCGGGAACGCATCACGTAATTGAGGCGCAACGCTGTCAGGGAAGCATTTTGCTTTATGCCCAGCCCGTCCTGCCTCCGAGCCCCTCCCATATCAGCATCAAGCTAGAGGCTGCTTTGGCGTTTGGGAACTAAGCCTAGAGCCACCTCTGCTTTGTGCGCTCTGTAACTCTTCTGCACGGAACTCCTCCTAAAACCCTCAACGTTAACCAAGACGAGTGCCGCTACAGACGCTGAGTGTTTGCTCTGCGCAAAACTAAGCAGGAAATGGAAGCTTCTGCTGCAGGAGACTGAGCTCACCGCTTGCTCCAACAATAATGGCCTGACAAGTTGAAAACTCCGGGCCCTAACATGCACAGATGGCTGGAATTAAAGCCCTTCCTATTTTCAGGTTATCCTTGCTGCTTTGCAATTGCACATCAAACACAACCCCTACCAAGTGTGCTTTATCTGCACGCTTACCGTCTCCCTTCAGCCTGCAGAGGCTGCCCTGCAGCACATCCTAGGGAAGAGCAAAAAAGACAGTGAGTGACAGGAGCACCATCTTATTTCTACTGAATAATTAGTGCAATCATCAGAGTTGTTACTGAACAAGTTTCAGTCGAGTGGGGAAGGTCCTGTGTTCCAATCCAAGGAGTGCTGAAGGGAACACCATCAAGACAAGTATCACAAATAAGATTAATACAACAGATTTTGTCGTGTCTGGGGGAGAGGGCCTGGCCTCCATGGCTTCGGAACCCTCCCAGCCATTCTTGTTTTTGCTCTGGATGATCTTGGTACAGTTCAGGAGGGCTTCACACTTACCACTGGAAGTTTCAAGATCCTCTTGCGATGACAAGTAACCCTCATGGGACTCTTGAGTTGGAGTTCCCCAATCCAAGGCTTCTTTGCCATGGAGGGCCAGGGCTTTTTGCCCAGAGGAGCGGGGGCCCATCCTGCATTTCTGCATGGCAGGTCCTTCTTGCGCCACAGACGTCCTGGCTCCTTCCCAGCATGGCATGCTTGAGGAGAAAGCATTTGTTTCTGGAACCCACTCCTCCTCCTCCTCTCCCACCTCTACTCTTTGCCTTTTCCTGGCTGGCTCTTCTCTTGCTGCTGTAGCAGAGGAGGTGGGTTGTTCTAGTTGCTGCTGCTGCTCTTCTTCCTCTTGTTCTTGGTCAGCACGGTCCTTCTTTGTATCCGACTCTTCGCCTGGCAGGCTCTTACTGGTGTCCTTGAGGCCCACAGAATGCAACAGCCACGGACTTGCAAATCTCCTTGCAACCAGCCGAGTAGTTTTTCCTCCTACTTCTAACACCTGCTCCAAATCAAGAAGATCCTAAACAAGGAGGGGAGGGGTGTCATAACCCACAAACTTTAAGACTGTAGGTGAAAAACAGCCAGATAATGAGAGGCTTCTTGTTAACTGAGTAATCTCTGACCCACAAAAGATCAGGAAATTCACTCTCCCCAACCTGTGCCTAATGTGCCTACATTTGCTTATTTCATTAGATTTAGATGCTGCCTGACTGCAAGGCAATGCTGGGCAGCTCACAATTTAAAATAAAACAAGATAAAATATACAAGAAATCAACATCTGTCTGGATCACATACCATATATCCAAAACACATCTAATAAGGGGACCACATCCACTCTAAACCAAGACCTCAACCCCAGCCAGCACAGATAAGGGACGGGGGTGGGGGTGGAATGAGGATAATTGTTCATTGCTTCTGGCCAGCAGTTTGTCTGGGCTTTTCCCTTCCTCTCACACGCACCAACCTGAAGGTACTGCTGCAAGATCTGAGTGCGCCCAGTGACAGCTTCTTCATAATGCTGGAACTGCCTGGCAAGAGTCACCCGGTCTACCCCAAAGTGTGATGTGGCCTCTATGGCAGAGAAGATTTCAAGGGCTGCAGCAGCATCTCCAGGGCTGTGACTGTAGTGATCCAGCAACTGAAGTTTAGCTGTATTATCACCCTCTTCTGGGACCCTGAAACATCTGGTAAAGGAACCAGGGAGGCAAGAAGTTCCAACTGGCATGTTCTCCAGATCAGATGGGTCTGCGGGCACAAAACACAATACTTAAGCCAACAGGAAGCACAGTCCCACGAGGCTGAGCCAGCTGCTCCCCAGTCCTAAGCAACTGCTTGCCTCCTCAGCCAGAGGCAAGCAGAGACCACCACAACTAAGGGCCTCTTCTGAAACAGGACAAGGGAGAAACTATGCTGGGGCCACTTGTCCAAGAGCTCCCACGCCCAGCAGACTGACCTTCGGCCAAGAGGCCAGTTTGGTTAGGGGTTGTTCTCAACTTCACTTTCACTTGACAAGAATCAACAACGATGTTGTCTGTGGGACTCAAATTCCGGGTGTTGATGATCCCCGGAGCACAATAGCCTCTCATGAGCAGGTAGTTAGTACGTGAAGCCTGGCGGGCCTTCACCTCAATCTGCCGCTTGTTGACTGGGTTTTCCTCCATGTCGTCATCGTCGTCGTCGTCCTCCTCCTCCTCCTCCTCCAACCCATCTTTCCCTAGGCTACAAGAAGCAGACGGAGGATTGACAGGGTCTGCCAAAAGGGCTGGGGTAGAAGGCTAGTCTTATGCTTGGTGTAGCATGCTGAGGATTGCAGCCAGGCTACCCTTCTATGAGAAAGGCAGGGCGCAACTAAGGGTTTGGGAAATTCAGTTAGAAAAGCAGAGAATAAACATCATTATTTAAACCGGCACCCAAATTTGGCTGGAGGGGCTGCTGCTTCATACCTCTTCATGACTTCATTCTCCACCATGGTGCTGTCAACCACTACGATTTGCTCTGGGATTGCAACGTCCACTGAAACCAGGCCAAGAGAGAAGAGGGCCAGGAGAGCAGAGCAGTAGCCGCCAGGCCCGTCTAAAGGAAAAGTTACCATCTCAGCCCCAAGGGGGTTGTCCTGGTCCTTAAAGGAAAAGCTGGAAATTGCATCCTCTCTTCCTGCTTCTTTGAGCTGTAGGAGAAACTGGTAGGCTTCACTGCAGAGGGTGCTGGGAAACCGCCAGGTGAACACTCTGGGGAGGCACAGGGAGAGAGGAGCCTTGCAAACGTCTCTCCAGATGGGGCTCACCCCAGAAGGCCGCAGGACCGCTCGATTTCTGGCCACTGCCGCTTGCCCAGCAAGGATTCCTGGCCAGAACCTCTGGGCTAAGACCACTTCCCAGTCAGCTGGCCACCCCTCCTTCGCATTCGGCCCTGGCAGGCTCAGAATGAAGGGGAAGCAAGGTACCAACCTGTAGTAGCTTTGAGAGAGCTGGTAAGACATGGGCACGAAGGGCAGCGCCCGGCTCTTCTTGGGGCCCAGGCTGTGATTGCCCCGGCGGCGGTTTACCAAACTCCTCTTCTGGCAATCCAGGAAAGCTTTCACTAGGACATCGTCCTGATAGTCCCGGTAGAGGCGGAAGGTCTGCCAAGGGAAACGTCACTTGGTGGCCCTTTGCAGACATGCCGCTTCCCCTGCTCTGAGCTGGCTCTGCCAGGGGGCGGCGTTCCCTCAATGCTTCCCAGCCACTTAAGCGATTGCAGGTCTAGCAGTGGACGGGCCACCTGGCAAAGACTACCTTGCTGTCACAGCCTGGCTGTGACCGCTGCAGCCCCGACTACCTCTGCAGAATTACACCCAGAATTACAGGTGTAGGCTGAGAATGGCAAAGGTGAGTCCAGAGGCAAGCGCTGACTGATGTGTTCGCTTCTGGGATAGGACAGAACATCAGCATTTGCAGACAGAGAAACACTGGTCAAAAGCATTCTTTGCTGCAGAGCAAACCAGGTTTCAATCTTCCACACTCATTAGAGAACAGCCCTTCCTGTCCCAGTGTACCTGGCTAGACCCCCAAGGGTAAGGGTTGGCCTGCTTCTTCCTACCTGGAAGGACTGGAATGACTTCATCTGATTATTGGAGAGAGCAAGCGTGCTTTGGATCAGGTTCTGCAGCACCAAGAAGTGGATGTCGGCAATGCTAAAAGGAAGAGGAGGAGGAGGGAAACCATGGCTTCAGCCTAGGCCTGGCTCTTGGCTTTCATTTCCAGCAATCCCCTTCTTCTGCACGTGGCCTGAAATGAGGGGGAACCCCAGGCCTGCTCTCTACAGGTAAGTGCCTTGCCCCAACAAACAGCCTTGGCTTGCCATGTTTGCATCTGGGGTTTTCTTCTTTAAATGGCACACACCCTCCAACATGATTGCAATTCTCAACCAGGCAGGCAGAGGGGAAGCCCCTCTTACAGGGCGGTCACTGGAAAGGGCTTCTGTCTCTCCTGAAGGAGGGTGCTCTGCAAGGAGAGATTCCTAAGAGCAGAACATACCAGAGAAATAAAGGGAGTGGTTCTGCCTCACCTGCTGAGTTCATCTTCTTTCCTGCCATGGCTGGTCTCATTTCCAATAGCCAGAACGCGGAACCTGGAGAAAGGCAAGAAGGAAGTCAACTGAAAACTCCCATGGGGTCCTGACATCTTTCCTGAGGAATTCTGTGTCCCTTTCCCTGGCTGAAAAGAAACAGCACAGCAGCAGAACTGCAGGGTGTATAGATAAAGCCCTGGCCTCCAAAACAGGACTGAAAAAGATGCCTGCTCCCTGCAACACCCCGCCCCCCGGCCACGGCTGCCAAATTGCAGAGGAAGTTCTCCCCTGCACCATCTAGGCCAAGCTCCAGCTCCTCCCAAATCAAAATGCAGTCTGGGAAAGAAGCTAGCAAGGGAGTGAGAACCAAAGACAGTTGGGGCTCCAAGTACTTTGGCCCCTGGTAATGCAGAGACATAAAATGGCTAGATGTGGCAAGGGTTACAACAGACCTGAGGAAAAGATCCTCCAAGGTGTCTGGAATTGCTGGCCTGGGAATCCCCAGTGTGGAGCTGAACTTCTCCTTCAGTCTCTCCACAAAGTCCTTGAACTCTTCGGAACACACCTTTTCACAAGAGTACCAGAAATCAGATCTTGAGAACATGCAAGTCTAGGAACTAGCAAACTTGAAATCACTTTCATCTCTCCGGTTTTTAAACAGACAAGAGGGAATTAGCTGTTGGGCTGGGCTGGCTAGGAATTCCAGTCTGGAGAGGTCTACACCAGAGGATTTTAAATGGGCCGAACAGACTAGTTGAAGGTCGGGCAAGCAGTGTTTGTTGCCCCGTCCCACATCCTGCCTCAAGAGCAGAGACATCAGCCCCAGTCACGCTGGGAGGCAGCTGCAGCAGGGATGAAGATGGGAATGGAGTCTAAGGGAATACAGCATTTGAGCACCTGGCATCCTGGATCCAGCTGCCCACCTCCTCTTGGCAGGACCATGCTGTGTCTGGGGCAGCACTTGCTTGGAGCTGCCAACAGGCTGATGGAAGGAAAGGAAGCAGCAGGCCCAGGAGCATCTCTCCTCACACCCCTGCCCCTTCTTCCATCATGAATTGCTGTCCCTTGCTTCTGCTGGAGGTGGGACAGCAGCAGAGGCTTCTGCTTGGGTGCTTGTTGAATACAAATGGACTTTCTGGGGGAAGAATCCAGGAGGATGGATCTTTGTGGCAAGACCTCCAGCTTCAGTAGAGCCAGAGCAGTGTTCTCACCTTGGGATCCTGATAGTTGCTCTTCCTGCTCATGAAGTCCTCAATCAGAGCTCTGTCTTGGTAGACTTCAGCAAGGCAAACTCTGCCAAAAAAGCCCAACCTCTAGCTTATCCTCCGGTAGAAAACACACCCTCCTCCCCAAGTCCACACAAAGGAGTTACGGCCTTCCCTGCTGGGTAGACACGCAGCAGCGTTCTGCTCCATCCCTAGCCTGGGCAGCGGGGGTTCTCCTCCCAGGGAGCCCAGGGCCCACTCTGAGAAGATGGGAAATGTCTCTGTGGATGCCAGGCAGTGGCAGCAGCCATGGATTACCAGGTGACCAGCCAGATTGTTAGCTGGAGAAGGTAGTCCTGGCAAGGGAGGCCCTGATGAAGCCAAAAGCAGCAGAGGAAGGAGCAGAGGGGAGATCAGACTAACCCCCTCCCCATACGTATGACATTTCAAGACAGGGCCGCTTCAAGTAAAGCCTCTCACTTGTAATTGAGATAGGTCTGGGGGTTTTTGACAATGTAGCGGGCCCGCCGCCCAACTGAATGAGAAGTCTTGTCTAGTGATTCCTCAAAGCTGCTGTGCATGATGTCTCTGACCACCTGCCAGGGGACAAATGGTCCCTTCACCTGCAAGAAGCAAAAGAGCAGCTAGCTTGGTGCAGCCTGGCCTCAGAGTCTCGCCTCCATTCCCTCCCAAGGCAGGGGCTGACTGGCCTCATTCAGACGTTGATTCCAAAGGAGGACGGGCCTCCACCTGCCCACCTGCCTGCCTGAGGCCAGCCAGCCCCTTCCCACCTGCCAACCTTGGTGTTCAGAATGTTGCTTGCAATACGGCAAAGCATCAGTAGGCTGTCCTCCTGCACGGTCCATGTCACACGCAGGCAAGTCATTCTCTGCAGAGCCCTTCGGTCCACCTCATCGTGGTAGCGTGGCCTCTGGTGCTTCTCTTCAGGATTTTCATCTGTGTAGCAAGCAACAGAGAGAGGCAGAGAAAGCAAGCAACATTCAATCCACAAGCAAGGCACGGATTTGTGCCATTTCAGAGCTTCTGCCTTGGATTATTATGCTGCCCAGAGTCGCTGTGAGTGGGGCAGTCTATACATTTTGATTAATGAATACATAAATCTGAAGAACTCTAAAAGGCTCCAGTGGGGCAAGCTGAACAGAAAGGGCAGCTATTATGAGAACATGCCAAGTCTCTAAGAAAAAGGAAGCTCTCAAGTGGTGGAGAACTGCCAAGTAGACAAGCTCTGCCTAAAGAGCCTGCCTGCTGATGCATTACCTCTCTTTCTCTTCCTTTTCTTTGTCTTCTTCACCATATCCTTCCTCAGTCGCTTCCTCTTCTGGCTCTTTCCCCCCCTCACCCTCTGGCTTCTGTTCAGGTTTGCTTCTTTCTCAACCTCCAGGTCTTCTTTCTGTAGAGCAGGTTCTGAACTCAACAGACTCTCTCCCCAGAGAGCACTGTGGCCACCTGAGAGTCACAAGAAATGCTGAGGAATAGCGTGGAGGATGGAATCCCAAACACCACGGCTGCCTTCTCCTTAGCCAATCTACTGACCCAGGATGTCCATAACATGGTAAATTGCAAGGCTGAAGAGACAGTCCCACAATGGTTTTTTTGCCCTCTGCTATCAAGGTCTTAGGAATAGACTAACATAGCATTCAACAGGCTGATATTCAACCTAGAGGGAAGCAAGAGGGAACCCACGCACAAATCAAAACCTGCGGACAATTGGGTCACTGAAGTACAGGTTGATCAAATCCTTTAAAGAAAAGCAGTCAGAGTAATCAAACGAAGTCACAGGTAGGGTTTTCATATCTCCCTGCAGTGTAAAAACCAACCTGCAGTCAGCTGCTGCTACTCTGTTCTGCAGCTGAAGCACCCTAGGAAACCATTCCCAAGCTGCCTACGATGTGCTAAGAATCACTGTAGTTCTTGCAATCACAACCCCTGTTTTGTCCCCTCACCTCCTGGGCCAAACGGCAGGGGGCGCTTGATCAGGAAGGTCTGCAGTCTGACTATGTGCCCGGCTTCAGAAACGGCATTTTCCTGGCGGTAAAGCGGAGGGGGGTTAGTGGGGGAAGAACAGAGCAAAAGGCTGCTGCAGGTAGTTCGAGGACAGATTTTGGGTGGTCGTTAGAAAAGGTAATAATTTACTAAGGATGGTTTTCTCTCATTTTCTCTACCTCCCTTCCCCCTGCACACCCAGGGGAACAGAATCACTGTGGCAGGGTGCCTCCTGCTGCCAACCCTCAGGTGTGGCTGACAGCAGTGGACATTGCTGAGGAGTCTAGCAGGACCAGGAGGGTGCATTCCCTTTAGGTCCCTCGAAAGCACATCAACTAGAACTAGCCAGGGGGGTTCTGTCCAGTGCCCAAGCCTCAATCACCACGGGAAGGGATCCAGATAACCTATCTTCTTACACCAGTGAGAATCAGGACAGTCAAAAACAGATTTCCAAGAATAAGGTAGAAATCCAAACATTTATCAGAAAAGGTGGCATTGTCTACTTCTTTGCTAACCGCGCAGTAAAAAGGAGGCAGAGAAGAAGCAACTTTCAAGAATAACATTTGGGGAGCCTCACCTTCCTAGTCTTATTAATGATGTAGCTCGTCCAAATCCAGTTGCGTTTTAAGTGGCTGTAAAAGCTGGAGTCTAAACCACCTGCCCCGAGCCCATCCCCTGGTATTAAACCTTCATCCTCCACCTCTCGGCGTCCTCTAGGATGGGAAATAAACAGCCAGGTGACCAACTCTTCTCCTCCCTCCAGATCAGGTATGGGCAATCCAGGGCCCTCTGCCAGCCTCCTCCCCCAGGGACCAAACCACCCTTCTGCTATGACCCCACTACTACTGTACTGTTGGCAGGACAGAAAGTGTAAGCAGTCTCAACGGGGGAGGGGAGGAAGCAGCATAAGCCATCTCTCCTCCCCCATCCCTTCTCCGAGAGAGCACAGGGCCTGCTCCCCCACCCCACCTCCAGGCAAAGGAAGACTGGTCCTTCCACCAAGCTGCTTGCAGGAGGGGAGACGTACGTTGTATACTCCAGCATGGCACACTTGCGCTCCAGGTTATGTCTGTGGGCTGCTGACTCTTGCTCCGAGAGAGCATCCACCTCCCCAGCTGGAGCTCCACTCCTTTTTGCACGGGGATGGCGGACAATTCCTGCAGGACCCAACAGATACTGTCAGCAGAGGCAGAACCAGACAATGCAAACTGATCGGTTGATGAGAGGAAGATGCTAGGGACAGGAGGCGATGGGACCATAGCAGCAATGGAGCAGACTTGGACAGCCAGCCCCCAATGCTGAGGGGGAGGCTGCTGCCAGCATCATACCGAGGGGTGTGTTGAGGCAGACACACTGCAGGTCAAACCAGAAGTTCTCTACATCCTGGAGAGTGCTCAAGGTATAATGGCGCCTGTCAAATGGGCGGCTGCTTTGAGCCAAGTTGTAATGGGGCTCACAGGTGGTGGTATCCACAATCACTGCTTTTTTCTTCAAGTAGACAAACACCTGCATGAGATTCAAAATGCTCAGACCAAACTTCAGGTAACAGAAAAGGGGTAGGACCAGTAATTCTGGCATCCAGTCTTATTTTAAAGGAAGCACAGGCACCTAGTCACTCAGCAGCTATTATTTTAACAGATTTCTTGAAAAGCCCCACTTTCATTTGAAGTTTGATCATCATTTTCTATACGATTATAAGGGTTTGCTCACCTTATACGTGATGACATTCCTCTGCTAGCTGAAAATGCAATTGATCTGCAAGCTTTCATAATGAAAGTCAAGGAGCACAGTGATAAACGACTATGATTAAACCCTAAAATCCTAACCTAATGATATATAGCAACCAACCTTAGAACTGACAGTGAAGACAATGACATGGTGGCGAGTTTCTGCCTTTTAGGATTGGCTATCAACTGAAAAGGATCCAGCAATCAGGAAATATGTCATAGACTAGTACTTGGTAAGGCAGCAATGAGGGTCTTGCCTTTCTATACAAGCCAAGAAACTGTGTAGGCAATGGTTTTTCCTGTGTCACTCTATAGAAGCAAAATCTGGACTCTGAAGAAGCAGGATAGGAAGAGTATTGATGCTTTTGAATGTTGGTGTTGGAGAAGACGCCTGAGAATACCATGGACAGCCAAGGAACCAACAAATGGATCACAGAACAATCAGCCTAGAGTTCTCCTCGAGGCAGAAATGACCAAGTTCAAATTGTCATCTTTTGCACGGATCATGCAAAGATCTAGTTCTCTTGAGAAGTCCATAAGGCTGGGAAAGATGAAAGGAAGAAGAGGACGGCCAGTAGCAAGATGGATGGACTGATTTGCAGCAGCAATGGGTGAACCACTGGAAGACCTGAAGACCCATGTAGGGACAGATCATCCTGGAGAAAGTCTATCTACGTGGTTACTAAGAGGCAATACCAACTTGATGGCATATAATCAATCAGTGACCCTGCATGAAGCATTATGCTGATGATGCCAACAATAGCTCTGCTTAATTAGTTAACATACATTTTCACTTGTAATCTAATATCATGAATCGTCTATAGAAGATAACATTTTGTGCATCTGATGAAGGGGACTCCATTTGGATTATGGTCTGTCATTTTCAATGTGCTAGTCTTCAAGGTGGAACAGGACACCATGCTTTCCCTGAAAAATTTTGTTTCTCTTGCATATCTTTACTCAGATTATATGTAAATAATTTATATATAAATTATATATAAATATGATAAATATTTATATATTTATTATATTTATCATATAATATGACATATATAAATAAATAGAAAAGGCTATATAACTATGATAAATAAATAAATTATAAATAATATGGCATAGCATTCAGTTATAGAAAACCAATAAAGAAATAACATTACCTGATCTTTTTCTTGAAATTTCTCTGTGGGGCCAAACTGCAGTAGTCCCATATAACATAACCGCTGTAGGCTTTCCATTACTGAAAAGATGTATCTCCTGTAAGGATGCATTTCAGGTTGAAAATCATTGGACTCTTCTCAATTGTAAGAAAGCAGCAACATATTCCTATTCTTAACCCAAATCAAAGACAGCTCTAAACGCGAAACATGCTGTAGAGTCATCAAAGTGCAAGGTCCGAGTTCAATCCAAATAAAGGGTTGAACGTACAATATATAAGACCTAATATATGGCAGCCACCTATGCTTGATGAGTTCTAACAAGAACAAAACCAATTGTAGCCCAGTGCCTCCAAGGGGTCAGTGGTGCCTATAACCACTCTATCCATATTCATATCCACAGCGTTCTCACTCAAGTCACAAATGACCAGGCTCAAAATATCCTATCTTGGACACATTATGCAAAGACCCAGCTCTCTAGAAAAAGCTCTAATGCTGGGAAAGGTGGAAGGAAAGAGAAGAGGATGACCAGCATCAAGGTGGATGGACTCGGTTAAAGCGGTGATGAGGGCACTGTTGGAAGACCTGGAGGAACAGTTTAGGGATAGATTGTCATGGAGAAAAACTATGTGGTCACTGGGAGTCGGAAATGACTTGATGGCACATAATCAATCAATCAATCAATCAATCAATCCACATTCAGTTTTTAAAGGATGGGTAATGAATGTAGCATTCCACCTCCCCTACCACCCGAAATCTTCCATCAAAGATATGCCCATTTTTGTGCTTTGTGTCACTTTATGGCAAGTCCCATCTGTGAGCTCTACTCTTGCCCAAATTCAGAATCCAGCTGGAGTGAAAAGTGCCAGGAGGTCCCTCTCTTTTGAAAATCACACCCTCTCCACTTTCCTGGACCAGCCCCAACTAATCAGAACCCACCGCTTGTAAAGGAGTTGCTGTCGAACCGATCTGGGAAGGTCTCTGATGAGTGTATGTTTCCTCAGGGAGTCCATCAAATAATCTTCCAGGTTATCTACCTACATGTAATTTCATACAGCAGAATACAAGATTGGCCAACCAAGTCTTAATCAACCTCATTCTGCAACACAGAGGTTTATCAAGGAGACTGGCTTCAGGCTATGATGTATGAGCCGGCAAAGCCTCAAATACCAGAACCTTGAGGGTCCAGTAGTCCTCCACCCTGTCTTCCCAGAAAAGGCCTGGTGCCAACAGAGTTTCAGGTGCATCAGCTCCTGAACAGGTGGCTCTGTTACGGTTCTTAATTCGAAGCCCCTCACCTTGTAGCTGACTTGCACTATCTGGACAAAGATGGACAATGGCAAACAGAGGAGAAGGTCGCTAACAAGTGCCCAGCCACGTCCAAACTCCCGGTGGACTGGCAGAGGAGGGATGTGACGCATCCAGCAGGCATCATCCACATAAACTGCAAGGGAAAAGAAGGAGGTGCAGGGCTCCAGCCATTTTACCTAATGGATGTTCAGGATATGTTCGCTTTTCAGCCACCACCAGAAATGGAGGGTCACCATTTTCCACCTTGCGTTTATTGAAACAGGCTGCTACAGGCAGACAGGAACATTGAGAGCTATGCTGACTATTACAACAGCCCAGAAAAGCCTGCTTGCATGAATGGGGAGGGGGGGCAGAAGAATTCTACTTGGAGCTGGCTCCAGAAGGAATGGGGGAGGACAAGTTATGGAGGCCACCGTATCCCTGCATAGAAAGCCACCAGTTGCTGAGAGGGGCAGGCTAGCTTTGTCAGAGAGGGCTGGCTTGGCTAAACTGTGAAAAAGTTGTGGGACATTTCCTGAGGTTTGTACAAAATCCTCGAACCCTTGCCTTTGAGCCTTTGAGATCCTCACCTTTCTGCTCCCCAAGCTCCATTTCTCCTTCCTGGGCAGGAACCTCTAGGCTTCCCAGAGACTCCTTGTCATCTGTTGTATCAGGCAGAGTGTAGGAGGAGGTACAGCCTGGGTCCTCCTCTAGCACATCACAGGCAGTTCTCCTCCTCTCCGGGCTGAGAGGATGTCCATAAATCAGGTACCAGAGGAAGAGGTGAGCCATCTTTAAGCGCGGCATTTTGGGGAGGAAGCCCAGAGAGCGTCCAAGGCCTGGCACTGAAAAGAAGCATCTCTTTCCCTTCAGAAAGCCACAAACAGGTGGCTGCTGTGTCTCAAATTGCAGTGCCTAACCCACTTCCACTAAACCAAAGCAGAGCAGCAGAGGTCTCCTGTTACCTGTAACGGGATGATAGCTGAATTTGGCAATGCACACCTTCTCTCCAGCTGTTTCGCTTTGGCAGGGAAAAGAGCAATCTTTCCTTTCGCTCAGGGTAGTCTCAGCTCCAGACTCCTGCCTTTTTGGGTCCTGAGACATTGACGTCTGCTGAACTTTAATTCTGAAAATTAGGGAGAAAAAGAGAAGTAAAATCTTGGCTTCAGGAATCTGTGAATTGTTGCCTGGCAAGAAATTCCACTCCCTTCACTGAACTGCAAGGTCAATGCAGCTCTTGCAGCCCAATTCCCACCTATTCTCAAATCAGAAAGGGGCAGTTGGCCTGGCAAGTAGCTGTTGAAGAGCACTGCAAAGCGGAGGAGTCTCAACATCTCTGCAAGCAAAGTCAGATTTGCAACTGAAATGCAGGATGGCACATCCTTGGAGAGAAGACCACTCTATCAGGACAGGAGTTGATGATAGACTTTCTGAACCAGCAGAACCTCTGAACTCCCCCCCTCCACTTCTCTTGGGCATCTGGATGTTCTCAGGAGGTCTGCAATTCTACAAACCAGCTTCTGGCAGTAGCGCCACCCATCTGCGTGACCTTCTGAAACCTGCCTGTTCACAGTACTTGAATTGGAGATTCGGAAACGCACTTGCTCAATGGCACTTTTCACCAGCGGGTCACTAGGAGTCACAGAAGGATCAACAACAAATTCAACCTGTCAAGGAAAGGAATCCAGAGGACACGTACTAATGAGGAGCTGCCCCAAAGGCTGTGCAAAGAGGAAGACACAAGCAGTGGTGTTCCCTGATTGTTCCCCTGAGGATGTAGAAATGCCTCCTAGCTGCAGCAAAGCCTCGGATACATTCTGCAGAGACACCCCAAACATCTGTAAGCTAAGCAAGGGTGGGTTAAGGCTACAGTGAGGCAGGAGTCCATCAATTCAAGTGTGCAGTGATGCACCTGGCAATGCTCCCTCGGGAGAGCATGCTGCCCCACAAAAGTCATGTGGAATGCTTCCTCATTCCAAGTCAAACTGTTTATTTAAACATTTATATGCTGTTTCCCCTTTAAAAAAAAACTGAAGCACTTGACTTTTGGGGGAGCTGACAGCAGCAGAGACTGGATCTGTTGGCTGACCCGTGCAGACACTCCCTCTTTCCCCTGAATTCAGTGGTTTGGAAAAACTATCACTTCTGAGGCTCCTCTACAAGGGGAAAATTAACCCGTTGGGAAAAAGAGCAGGTCCTTTCTTGAGCTCTTATTTCTCCTACTACAGAAGATTCTCCCCCAGCTTTTCAGAAAGGGATTGCTACCTTTCGGCTGATCCCATCCTGGATAACAGTAGTGCGGTAAAGGCGCAGAAGGCCTTCCTGGGAGAGCTTCTGGACTAAGCGAACAATAGATTTCTTGCAGCACCTGGTGGCGACCCCTTCTTGCTTCTCCTGATCCATGATCATTTTCTGAAGCCTGAAAGAAGACAGATCACCTGAGGATTCCTTTCTGCAATGGCAGAAGGGGAGGCGGAATCACCACGGACGCTAGGTTGAGCCCCACATAAGCAGCTCCTCCACTCGAGGTAGCTTATGAGGACCTGGAAGAAAAGGGATGTGAGACAAAAAACAAGCTCGGGAGCACCTGCCAAGCTCTTCTGCCACCTGGCCCTGCTGGCTCTGCCACTCTGACTTACCCAAACAAACTCTCAATCAAGCGCAGGTTTCGGACAGCCTCAATTATGAGGTTCCGACGTTTCAGTAGACGGTAGGTCTCATGGGATCGCTCTACCAGAGATGTTTGCGAGCTCTTCTCTTTTCTCTTTTCGTCACAGCTCTTCTAGTACAGAGTCAGAAAACTATATGTAAGAATGTCTGGTAAAAAGCTGATGAATTCAACCAAGTCCCGTCTTCAGGAGGGGGAAACCAGAGTGGGAGCCCATGAGGGTACTACAAGCCACTGAGAAAGCTTCCCTGGAAAATGACTGCAGCACAAAAGGGAGCACGAACAGGATTCTGTGGAGGGCTGTTCCCAGGCAACTGAGCAGGAAAGCTGACCTGGCCCTGGGACAGACAAGAGCCCTCCCCCAACCCTGGACCGGGCCAAGGTCTGCTGAGGCTCGGGCTGCCTGTGCCGGGAGGCCAGAGGAGGAATTCTGAGCAGCTCCCTCCAGGGGCCTGTCTTCACTGCCTAAGCGATGGGCTGAAGGGACACCTGTCACCAGCGTGCAAGGCATAAGCCTCAGATTCTTACTTTGGGCGTTCCAGGGCGGACTTCTTCGACCACCGCTGCATCGCCAGAGTCAGCTTTGAAATGGGCACAGTTTGAGAGGCTGGTTTCCGACCTTGGCCAGTCCAAAGCAGAATCCCTGCCTTCCAAGTGTTCAAGAGGGAGCAAAGACGACCTCTTCTTCCGAGCTGGTTTGAGAAGAAACACACCCTGAGCGGCCTCCCCAGGCAGCTCCCACAGAGCTTTGCTACATCCAAGAGAACAGGAAGGGGGCTCTCCAAGCATCCTCTTTGCTGAGCTGCTACAAGGGGCTGGATCCAAAGAAATCGAGTCCTGGATGAACAATCTGCCATTGGGTGCTGGTTAATCCTTTCACTTTAATACAGAGAGCCAGTCTGGTGTCGTGGTGAAGGTGCTGGCCTAGAAACCGGGAGATGGGGAGTTCTAGTCCCACCTTAGGCATGAAAGCCAGCTGGGTGATTTTCCGCCAGCCACGCTCTCTCAGCCCAGCCCACCTCACAGGGTGGTTGTTGTGGGGAAAATAGGAGGAGGCGGGAATATTAGGTATGTTCGCTACCTTGAGTTGACCAAAATATTAAAAAGTGCTCTGAACAAATGTTCAGAGAGTGCTCTGAGACCTCTCTCATGAACTCATCTCAATTAATACCCCATTTCAAGGGTCTGGCAACTTCTCCAGTGACCCAAATTCGGTTTTGACCCAACACAGAAGGCTTAGATTGCTTGTGTAAGAAGGGCAGAAACGGGGTCCTGGCACAAGCTGATATCACAAAGGTAAAACATGGCCAGGGATAGCTTAGGGGAAAAGAAGAGGTTTGGGAAAGATTTGGGTTTTCCTAGGGAGAATGAAACATTTCTGACCCCCCAATACTTTTGGTGACCCTGGGCAAAGTGCCAATGCCAATTCTGTACCTTTCTTATTTGCTGACTGGCAAAGGCCACCTCCTCCATCAAAATCGAGCTGTGGCAGGGCCTGTGTATTACCCTTCAGCCTTGCACCATCTTTCCCTTCCTCCTCCAGTTCCAAGAGTACGGCCTCGTTGTCCTCCTCCACTTCCTTCTTCTCTGCTGACGAGAGCCCTTCTCCAGGCAAAGTGTCATCATGCGCAAAAGCCATGCTGGCCTGAGCCAGCTCCTCACTCCGAGCCTTCTCCCGCTCAAACTGCTGGCTCAGGTCACTCTGTTCTGCGTACGTGCATGCAATGTATTTGGTTGTCCGCTGCCTCCCCTCATCCTCCATGAATCCCTAAGCAAAGATCACAATAATCACCTCTGCCTTGTTCTCAAGGCTCTCAAAATGTCAGGTGCTCTCTGGGAAACAGGGCAAAGCAGGTGGACAATCCTTCCCCCAGTTTTAACTGACTGCAGCACAGGAAGGTGGCCTACGGAGCATTACCTTGATCACTTTGTATCTCTCCAACAAGCGACACAGCATCCGGGCTTCCAGCTTTCCCACGTTCATAGCAGCTCGAAGTTCTGCCTGAGAAATACCTTTGGTCCCCCAGCTTTCAACTATGAGGCAGAGAAAGTGGGAATGGATGAAGTTGAAAGAGGACACTGAACACTAAGTCCCAGCATAAGCAGCAAGAGTTGGGTCTGAAGCAGCATCAACTAAGCCCACCTTGCTCACCTGGAGAAAAAGGGAACAATGTTCCAGACCTAAGCCATGCTGGACTCAGTAGAGAGTCTGTCCTCTCCCAGAAAAGCCCAGGGGCATCTGAGCATCAGGTACACCTTCACCTACTGGTCTAACTCCCTTTAGCTGTTCCTGAAGGTAGGCTGGGCTTTGGTCATGGCCAGGACTGTCCACCTGAGCATCAGCCTTGGCTCTGCCAAAGGAGACTGCCAGGCTCTTAAGCACTCAATGGCATTGCAGAGGAAAGTTTGGCTCCTGAAGCTCAGAAGAAACCCAGAGTGGTGGGCTGGTAAGTCCTGCTCAGAACACTCTCTGTGGGAGTCAAGAGATCTAGGCACTCATGTGGCAAAATTTCTCCCACAATCCCATTTGATGTCTGGGGTTAAACATTCCTGACCCTATTTCAGCTAGAAAGAAGAACCCATGGCTAATTCAGGGGATGGAACTGAAACAACCCTGGAAACAGAGTTGGAGGTAATGAGGGTCAAACTCACGTCATGGGTTTGACTCCCCACATGGTCATGAACCTTATCGGACAAGCAGAGAAGTTGTTATGTTGTTAATGTTATATTATTGTGAAATTACAGTCGTGTGCTGCCAAGAACTGGGTGGCTTATAAACCCAATAAACAAACAAATAAATAAGAAACTGTTCCATTTTGAAAATTCAGAATCCAAAATGACTTGCGCTGGAAAACTAAGCAAGACTAGATTTCATTGCTGCTGGCGGATTAGCACTGGCTTGTCCCTCGGCCACACAGTGACCAAACCAGCTGCTTCTACCCTGCAACCAAGATGGCTTCAGCTGAAGGGCACAGAAAAAGCAATGCAGACATCCTGCCCAGCCAAACTGCAATACCCACTCAGCTCATATGCTTGTCCCAGCATGTCCTTTTCATATACAACGTCCACAGGCTGCACGGTTTTGGTGATAATTTCTTCATCATCATCATCGTGGAAGTCAGCCACCTTCTTCTGATATTCCTTCACTAGCTTTAAACAACGAACCATGACGTGAGTTCCTGGGAATGAACAAACACAGAAGGTGTCACGTCAACAATAATTGAGTCCCTCAAAGATAATTCACACCCCACTGGATTAAGAATGGCTGAAGATAGTCTGCATAGTCTCCCCTAATTCAAGTACTGATGACACCGTATTGAAGCCCATGTTAATTCTTGCTAGATGGGGCTTGCCAGCAGAAGATCCACCCCCACCTTCAGCATCATGGCAGTCCTAAGACTCTGCTTCCACACCACTCGCTTGTTCTCTTTCTGTGCATCAGAAACTACAAGCACCTCTCAAAGGCACTGATGAGCCAGCTCACTGCCAAAGAGGCAATGGTGGGGTGGGGGTGGGAGGTGGGGAAGACGGCCAAAAGAAATCCTGTCCATGTATTTCCTTCAACCCTATAATTGCTTTAAAATCTGGGCATGCTGCCCCCCCCGGCAGATCTGAATCCTCAGGAAAACCGCAGGACTGTACCATGGGCCCCTAATCCCCCTTTTTCCTGGACTGCCCCAAATGACTTTCCCCTTGCCCCATGCTTACCCTTCTTTGTCCTGAAAGGCCTCCCAACAGAGCATACATCCTGCAGTGGAACAGAGACCACCTTGCCCAAGTTGGCATTCAGCATGTACTGGTAGAGGCGCTTAAAGGTTTTTTCACAGAGACCCTGCACAGCAGCAAGACAAGGAGGGTATTTCTGTCTAACTCTTAGCAAATATATATTTTTCCCAGTCAGCCAAGGTTTTCCCCCTGACCATTTTTCTACTGATTTCCTATGGTTATCAGCAACTCAAGGAGTAGATTCAGTATCAGTTAACTAAGACATGTTCAAAATATAATGTTTCCACATCCATGCATTTTGGAGCAAAGTAAATGAAACATTAATGTTATTTTTGCATTCTTGATCTGTTTTTGATTTATACCATCTCTCTCTCTCACCATTCCAATGAAAATAATTTTAAATTATTGTTGTTGTTTAGTCGTTAAGTCGTGTCCGACTCTTCGTGACCCCATGAACCATAAATTATTAAATTATTACCAACATTCTAAAACATCTCTCCAGGTATTATTTTATTATAACACTGCATTAATAACAGTTTAATCAAAAGCAAGGCAGAATGTTTTCTGTGGGGCTCCTCAAGCAAAGAGATTTCCTGCTTTGAGGAGATCCTGCTCTTCATGCCAACAAAAATGTGGAACCAGCCCCCAGAGCTCTGGAAATACTCCCATACCCCATCAGCCAGGGCTTACTGGCAAACATGAGCTCTGGTCCATCCATATATGGAAGGAGCCAATAAAGAAATGAGGACACACCTGAACATACTCAGTATGAAGGATGATGCCCCACCACCACCACCACACCACACCACACATACACACACACACTCTCTCCACCAGTGTCTGTTCAGAGCTTGATAAAAGTTCACACAACAGTTTGGAAAGCAGCCACCTACACATTCCTCAGTTATCCAGGAAGAGAGCAGCAAACTTGCCAGTTCACCAGAAAGAACTGAAAAGCTTCTGCTCTAACAGACTAAAAGATACACTGGGTTCTAAAATAAAGGAACCCGGTTGCTAGGATACCGATAACCTTATCCTTTCAATAAACCGTATTAAAGATGGAAACCTTGCTTTCGGTTGAGTCGGCTACCAAGTGCCTGGCAACCAGCAAGGATTCAACAACTGCTAGACCCCTCCAGATAGGCTTGGAATTCTTTCGTGCCCCTTGTGTCCAACGTTTGGAGCAGGATAGAAGATTTTGGAAAGGGATGGAAAGGGGACAAACACACATGCAGAATCCTGGGCAGGGAGCCTGTACAGAGATAAAATAAGGGAGCTCTCAGAGATCCAATAGCCCAACTTCTGGCTCAGCTTTGCTAGAGCTGGAGCAAATCTCCAGGATTTGATGTGGTCTCAAAGGCAGACATCCCTAATGCTTCTGAGGCTCTGACGAACGGCACCAGATCAGAAAATTCTACCCACTGAAGGGAGCAGATGCTTCCAACAGAAGCACAAGCATCAAGCAGAAGATACACACAGAGACCGTCTTTGATTTCCAATGTCCTTGAGTGTGGGAAGCAGCAGTTAGAATCTCACCAATTCCTCCTTTATGTTGCCCAGTGTTTCCATCTGACCTGGCCGGCTGCTCAGCATGCCAGAGAGTTTCTCCATAAGAATATCGTATTTGCTCCTCCTAAAACCCAAGAGGGAACAGTGAGCAAACCCTGTACTGCCACTGTCTTGTCTACCCTCATCAGGAAAGTCACACCTTGCAGAAGCTGATCATTGCCAAGAGTCATGGCCCCCTGCTAATTATTATCATCAAGGCCTCTCTGAGACTCTAAGAAGCAAATGTCTGTAATGGAACCGAGGCCTCCTTTTTCTTGAAGAGACCTTCCTCAGGCTGCAGAGACATAAGTTATGTCTCTCAGTCAGTCAGTCAGTCAGTCACTAGAGGTATTTTCTTACAGAGAATCATGTACAGCAATATCAGTTTTTTTGTTATGTTAAAATGCATGCATTACCTGTTATGTCACTCCAATGTTATATGTAGTATTGTGTTTCTGTTGTTGTCTATAATTGTACTTTTTTAAATGCATTCTCCTCTCACAAATCCAAAACATTTTGTGGAACCATCAGATATGAAATTTTATTTTGAAGAACTAGAGACTCACAAAAAAACATGTGTTTTTCAAGATCTCCTTGCATATGCTCAGAGGCAATTGATTGTAAGAAAATATTTGCCTTCAGTCACGAGCACTCAGTTATACCATTTCCATAGCATTTTCTTTAAAAGACGATGTTGTTGTTCTAGGACTGTAAAACTAATATACATGTTTTGCAAAGCTGTATTTTTGGAATGAATGAATGCAGCTATAAAAACTGCACTTAAAAGCTGTGCCACAATGAAAAGCAAAATTGGGCAATACCTAAATAATGTACAGTATTGGCTGCTTTGCAAAGTTTGGCGAGCATGGTTATAGCACATATGAAATTCTTTTGTATTTCCCATGCACTTAGGAATTGGAAGCCAAGGAGAAGATATCACTACAAATGTAATTTGTTGTTTGTTTATTTTGGTGCAACTATAGCATGATGATTTAAAATGCTAATTATCTTTGTTGTCTGTTTTCTATTTGATTGTTTTTCCAGAGTTCATCATGAAGGTATTTTAGTATTTTGCTTTTGGAGGCTGGGGGGAAGATTGAATTTTTTTTTGGGGGGGGGGAACTGTACTGCAGTAATATATAGGTTTAAATATAAACAATTATTGGACATACCCATACATGTACAAGGAGAGATTCCCATGTTAGTATATCTATTAAACCCTGTTTTTATGAAATAATGACAGTTAAAGGAAGAATATCTCCAAAATGTAGACGAAATGACAACTCAGACCAAAAAGGCAAATCAAATGCTGAAAGAGGTAAAACCTGATATTAAGATTAGAGACAGAG